CACTTGAAGTATGAACATTTTTCTTTCTTCCTTTTTTTTTTTTTTGCCCCCTTAAGGAGAGAGCTTTCAGAGAAAAGAGAATCTTAGAAGCCTCCTACACAAAGGACACGTAGGCCCCCTTGGTTTCCAGTGAGAAACTCCCTGCCAACAGAGTTGCTTCCTCTGGGGGGTTGAGGGGTGGGGTGCCCATTTAAACATCAAATTCTTTATTTCTTGTAAGATTTCCAGCTGATTATATGTAGTGACTTGAGGAAAGCGGGTCTTTGTATAATTTATACACGTGTTGTATGCGCCAGTATAACGTGTTGTCTACACAGTTAGAAAGGCCTGGTGCACAACTGGAAAGACTAGTAAACCTCACAGCTCAGCCATTCATGTTATTCTGGGCCACTTACTCCGAAATTTACACCAAAAAGGTCACTAACCTCAAATATATCAGTTCCCACTGGCTTAGCCCTAAACAGTCCTAAACCTAAAGGATCAGTCGGTCCACCGTCAGCTCAAAGCCTAGCTCTGGGTGGCAGATGCAATGAAACCCCTCCAGCAGGCAAAACTGGCCTATGACTCGGGACCGGGGAGGAAAAGAGGCGCACTTTAACAGACGGGGGCAGAGGGTTTTGGAGTTCTCAGCGTCAGAGGACCGTCCAGGCTTCCCTTATACCTAGGGCATCTTAAACCCCCAATTTTCCAGGGTAGACCAATCAAAACACTCATTAATTACGGAGTGAAGAGATGGGCAATAGGCCATCCATTTTAAGATTAGAGTGGATGTAGGAGGTGTGCGTCTTCCACGACGGAAAACCAGCCCCATCGGACAAATACCAGGTCCCTGCTGGTAAGGGAAAACGCCTCGGTACCCGTCTCTTGGGCCTACAGCGGAGGGGGCTCTGACGAGACTTACAGCACAGACACTCTCCCGCCCCAGCTGACTGCAGCGCCCGGGGCGAACGGGGCGGCGCAGACCAGCGGGGGTGAGGGGGCGCCCCGCGCGCCGCCCGCCCCTGCCCGGAGCCCCGCAGCTCCCCTCCGCCGCCCTTCCCCGCCCGCCGCAGCAGAGCCCCGGGGTCGACCTCGCTGCCGAAGGCCAGCTTGGCGGAGGTGGCGGCCAGGGCACCGAAGGTGCCGGCGCACAGGCAGTTAAAGACGCCCCAGAAGCGGCGCCGCATCGCGCCTGCCTGGAGGTGCGGGGTGAACCCCGCGGGCGCGGCGGGGTAGGCGACCGCGCACCCGAGGCCGCTGCGAGAACGCGGCCACCCGGCCATGGCGACTGCCGCTACCGCCCCGAGCCCGTCGTGCGTCCCCGGGTGGCCGGGCACGCACCGCGATTGGACGGCGGCCTCACGTGATGCGACGCTCACGTGAGTGGGGAAGCCAACTCGGGCTCTGCGGGGTAGGGTGGCTTCCTGCATCTGGATTAGGTTTATCCGAGAGCGCGGGGGCGCCGGACCATGATATCGTTGCTTTTGCTGTACAGTAAATATTTCTGTGCTAGCGGTTTCGATCCTTTGCCGCCAGATGTAGCTCACCATGGGTTTCCCCTGGGAATTTGTTTAAAAATGCCGAATGCCACCTCCGGTACCCCCTCCATCATCCCTGCTTTCAATCTTCATTTGAAGGAGACCCCCCCTCAGGAGATTAACACGCACCTTCCGGTTTGGGAAGCGCAAAATGGAGATGCTTTGGCAGAGGGCGCTGGATACCTCCAGGCGCAGCAAGAAGGCGGGCGCTTCTGACAAATGAAAAGGCCTAGGCACCGAGAGACTATAATTAGATGAAAACAAGCCATCCATAATCGCTTCATGCAGATATCAGGACTAACATTAATTTTCCATGGACTTAAATGTGTTTAAAATGTGTCCGTTTAAAAAGTAGTACATTTCTTTGGAAATAGCTGTTTAAAAATAGTGTGTAAGGACTACTTCCACTCTCCAGGAAAATCATTAGAGAACTCTTTATGCATATTCAGTTTTATATATGTTAGGCTGGAGAAAGGAAAAACAAGGACATGCAAACAGAACAGAGAGATGCCATAGGGGGAGAACAGACCAGATCCCAAAGTCCGTGCCGTATATGGAAACGGGACAGCTCTCCCTGAATTCCATTCTAATATGCCAACTGGGACCCGGATGTCAGCCTCCTCCCTCTTGGAAGGAAAAAAGTTTCTAGTTGAGTATTATGTCACCTTTAGCCAATCATACCTCTCAACACCCCTTAGGCTAGTTTGCCCACTCCTCCCCCTCCTAATCCCTTATAAGCGCCCCACCTCCCTAACCGGGCGTGACTTCTCTGGCCTCCGGCAAGAAGGCCATAGAACCTCACCTGGGGGTATTTAATTAAATTACCTGGCCCTTTGTTGCCTCTCTTTGCCTCCTTATTCCGGCTAGAATTTATCTTACAATATATAGTTCATGTTAAAGGACAAATATGTGTAGGACTTTTTAAAAACATGATTTCACAATGAACATACTGTTGAGCACCATTTTTTTTTCCATTTAGAAAGTTTCTGTTGAAGTCCTTTTCTTCCCCCGCTCTCAGAGTGGTTTTGTGGTTCTAATAAAAGCAGTTAACCCTGTAACTCCCATGTGATACAAACTGTCCCATTTTGCAGTTGAGGAAATCATGCCTCAGAGAGGCAACGGGCACCCTAGATCAAAGACGATCCCCTCTGAAAGCTGTTACTTGGAACTTACAGGCAATCAAGTGGTATTGCATTTGATCAATTCCGTATGCTTTAAGGACAAAATGAGTGTTCCTGGAACAAATGATGCCTTTGGAAATAGCTGTTTAAAAATAGTGTGTAAGGACTACTTCCACTCTCCAGGAAAATCATTAGAGAACTCTTTATGCATATTTAGTTTTATATATGTTAGGCTGGAGAAAGGAAAAACAAGGACATGCAAACAGAACAGAGAGATGCCATAGGGGGAGAACAGACCAGATCCCAAAGTCCGTACTAGAAGTTGAGCTGAGCATCTCAGAGCCATCTCCTCTTGTCAGTCAATTACTCCCCTATCTTCACACCAGTCCTAAGGTTGTATGCCTGTCTCCCTGTCAGCCTGCCAGCTGCTAGTGCAAGGGCAAATTTGCTTTTCTAGGTCTCAGGTGCCCAGCACAGGACCCTGTTACAACGATGATAGTTGAGTTGACACCATCCTTGGCCACTGTTGAGGGAAGTAATTCATCATGCCTCCAGACAAAGCTCTCATGTGCACACACACACAATCACCGAGTAGGAATCTTGTTAAAATGAAGATTCTTGTTTAGGTCTGAAGCTGAATTGAGATTCTGCATTTCAAACAGGCTCCCAGATTGTGCTAATGCTGCGGATGGGAGGATCACACTGAGTAGCAGGGCTCTTGAGTGTTCTCAATGCACTCACTCACCTGGCAGCGTACCTATCTCCCTAACCTGGCTGTCAGGGCAGAAGCCAAAGAAGCCTGTTTCCTCTTTGTTCCTGCTACAGTGCCGAATACTATGACCAGCTCATGTCCTTGCTTGAACAGACTATAGTTTGATTACAAAATATAAATAAAACTTGAAAACTTACTAATAGCAACATGATGTAAACTAGAGCACCTGGGACAGTGTGGATGGGAAGAAATACCTCAGTCCAAATTTATCAAAAAAGCAATTAAAGCAAATCTCAAAGATGCCCTATGGGCAAAAGATTACCCACTGAGTTCTGGAAGACTTATTCAAATTCTCCCTCACCATTACGAGTGAGAAGTCACAAATTTGAGAGGCCTTAGGGGAAAGGAGGGTATTTAAATGTGTGCGAAGCCCTTGGTGTGAGAAAGTAGGGATGGCTGGGGCCTGATGGCCCAGGTAATTATCTTGTGTCTCTATTGCCCCCTCTCTACCCTTACTTCAGTCTCTCTCTCTCTTCTCTTTTCATTCTTTTTCCATTTCTCTGCCTCTTCTTTCAGTTAAACAAAGGAGCACACACTCTGCCATGCCCTATTCCAGAAAGCGAAGTTATCAAGGTAACTGCACTTTCTTGGGTTCTGGCTTTTGCAAAAATCTCCGTCCAAATTCCCTGTCCTGAGCTGGCCTAAGGCTTTACTGTGTTCCAAAAAAAGATGTATCAAAGTCTTAATCCCCAGGACCTGCAAAGGTGACCTTATTTGGGTCATTGCAGATGGCATCAAATTAAGACAAGGTCATAAAGGTACGCCAGAATCTGGTGTCTTTATAAGAGACAGAGACACAAGGAAGAATGCCATGTGACCATGAAGGCAGCGACTGGGGTGATGCATCTACAAACCAAGGATTGCTGGCAACACCACAAGAGGAAGGCATGGAAGAGACTCTCCATGGAGCCCTCAGAGAACAGCTTTGCCAAAGCCTTGATTTTGGACTTTCAGCCTCCAGAACTATGAGAGAATAAATCTGTTGTTCTACACACACTGGTTGTGCCACTTTGTTGCAGTAGCCCTAGGAAACTCATTCAGGTACCAAGCCCAAGCCGCCTCATTACCAGCTGTGGCAGCCCACTTTGGCCCACTTCCAAGTGAATGAACAATGTAAATCACTTTATTAAATTATTTTTTAATGATTTTATTACATTTTGAAAAATGGCCATATTTACAGTCATAAAAAATGCTTATGACACTAAAGTAGGAACACAAAAGTAATCTATATTAACAAGTTTGTCTTTCATACAGGCTGGACAGATAGTCTTTAACCTCATGGCAAGTTTTGGAAGCACCATATGTTGTTAGAGCTTCTGACATAACATGTATGCAAAGGAGATTACGGCAGTATCTAAGGAAAAAATGATCTGGCCAACATCTACTGTAAACGGTAGCAACAGGCTTTTATTTTTAAAAGGCAAAAGGTTTTCCCAGTACTTAGAGATGATTTAAAGCTTTGATGGGGTGGTAACCTCCAAACAGCAGTTTGCCACTGGCATAGGGCACAAAATGTTCATCAGAATCTTCAGGGCCAGCTCCCACCACCAAACACACAGTTGATAATTACAACTCTACTAAGTGTACAAATATAGGTTTCGCTTTTATTAAGAGGAAAAAAGTTTCCAAACAAGGTGATACCTAGGTAGTTGACCAGGATCCTTAAGATGCATTCTTTTTCTTTTCTTTTAAAGACACATTTTCAACATGTAGCTTTTCTAATACCTGGTAATTTTTTAAAAAACAAAAAAAAATTAAGGCTGTAATTCTTACAGGAAGAATTATTCTTGGCATTCACTGAACTTATATTTCAAAATAAGACTGCAATTTTCAATTTTAAACTACTTAATATTAAATAAGAATCTAATGTGTAAAACTGACTGAATTACGCTTAGAATAGCAATGACTGAATTTTTTAAATCAGGAAGTTCCCTGAAGAAAGCAGTTAGGTGATTCAATAACTAAATTTTAATTAAGTAATCATTTTAAAACTAGATTGAGTTTATTCAGAATAATTTTCAGAGTTTACCTCAGCAAGTCTGATATTTTTTCCTTCTTTAGCTGCACTATGTACTGAATCTTTTGATGCAGGTTTTGGTGACCTGCCAACTTCCCATTTTCTTCAGCAAGACATTCCACCTGCTTCCTTAACATTTCCTTCTCCTGCAGGTAAATCAACCCAGAAAAGAGAAATGGAGCTGCTCTTAATTATTCTTTTAATGTAACATTACTTAATGCCTCACTTAATGCCTCTCAAAGGGCTCAGGGAGCGAGAGACATGCCCAGATTCCCAACTTTCATGACCACATGTTCACGTACACTAGAGCAACTCTGAACCATAGGACACCCAATCACAGAAATGAGTCAACTGCTGACTGCGTCTCTTAATTCACATGTTTTAAGTACATCAAAAAACAGCACACAAATCACCTGGAATATTCTTTCCTTTTCTTCATACAACTCCTCGAGCTTTGATCTCAGTTGTTCCTTTTCTTGGAATGCTTTAGACTCTAAAGTTCTGGTTCGCTCGACCTCCTCAGTCATTCTAAGGCATTCTGTGTCTTTGCTCTGAAGGGTACTCTGGACTTCCTCTAGGCTGTAACAGTAAACATAACTTCATGGTATTCCACAGGAACATAGTTACAGAACAGTACCAAATTAGACATTTTCCACTAAAATGCAGAATTTTTATTTTAAAAAACTCACTAATAATCAGCCCTCCCCTATAAACAGCAATGAAAGATAGCAAGACCTGCAAATATGTTCTTTGTTGTTTTAGTCAAGATTTTCATTTTGGATAGTTCCAACCATTTTTTTTGATATCGATAATGTACAATTACATGAACAATATTACGGTTACTAGACTCCACCTATTATCAAGTCCCCCACACAAACATTAGTCACTGTCCACCAGCACACAAAGATGTGATACAATCACTACTTGTCTTGTGTTATACTGCCTTCCCTGTGTCCCTCCCCCACATTATATGTGCTAATCGAAATGCCTCCTTTTCCCCCTTATCCCTCCCTTCCCACCCATCCTCCCCAGTTCCTTTCCCTATGGTAACTCTTAGTCCATTCTTGGTTTCTGTGATTCTGCTGCTGTTTTGTTCCTACAATTTTCACTTTGTTCTTATACTCCACAGATGAGGGAAATCATTTGGTAACTGTCTTTCTCTGCTTGGCTTATTTCACTGAGTATAATACCCTCTAGCTCCATCCATGTTGTTGCAAATGGTAGGATTTGTTTTCTTCTTATGGCTGAATAATATTCCGTTGTCTATATGTACCACTTCTTTATCCATTCATCTACTGATAGACACTTAGGTTGCTTCCACTTGTTGGCCATTGCAAATAGTGCTGCAATTAATAAAGGGGTGCATATGTCTTTTTCAAACTGGGCTGCTGCATTCCTATGGTAAATCCCTAGGAGTGGAATTTCTGGGTCAAATGGTATTTCTATTTTTAGTTTTTTGAGGACCCCCCATACTGCTTTCCACAATGGCTGAATTAGCTTACATTCCCACCAGCAGTGTAGGAGGGTTCCCCTTTCTCCACATCCTTGTCAACATTTGTTGTTGTCTGTCTGTTGGATGTTTGCATCCTAACTGGTGTGAGGTGATATCTCCTTCTGGTTTTAATTTGCATTTCTCTGATGATTGGTGATGTGGAGCATCTTTTCATGTGCCTGTTGGCCATCTGAATTTCGTCTTTGAAGAAGTGTCTGTTCAGCTCCTCTGCCCAATTTTTAATTGGCTTATTTGCTTTTGGTTTGTTGAGGTACATGAGCTCTTTATATAATTTGGATGTTAACCCCTTATCGGATATGTCATTTATGAATATATTCTCCCATACTGTACGATGACTTTTTGTTCTACTGATGGTGTCTTTTGCTGTACAGAAGCTTTTTAGTTTGATATAGTCCCACTTGTACATTTTTCCTTTTGTTTCCCTTGCCTGGAGAGATATGTTCATGAAGAAGTTTCATGGTTTCATGACTTATATTCAGGTCTTTGATCCATTTGGGGTTTACTTTTATGTGTGGGGTTAGACAATAATCCAGTTTCACTCTCTTACATGTAGCTGTCCAGTTTCACCAACAACAGCTGTTGACGAGCCTGTCATTTCTCCATTGTATATCCATTGCTCCTTTATCATATATTAATTGACCATATATGCTTGGGTTTATATCTGGGCTCTCTGTTCTGCTCCACTGGTCTATGCATCTGTTCTTGTGCCAGTTCCAAATTGTCTTGATTACTGTGGCTTTGTAGTAGAGCTTGAAGTCAAGGAGTGTAATTCCCCCCTGCTTTATTCTTCCTTCTCAGGATTGCTTTGGCTATTCGGGGTCTTTTGTCGTTCCATATGAATTTTAGGACTATTTGCTCTAGTTCATTGAAGAATGCTGTAGGTATTTTGATAGGGATTGCATTGAATCTGTAGATTGATTGCTTTAGGCAGGATGGCCATTTTGATAATATTAATTCTTCCTATTCGTGACCATGGGATGTGTTTCCATTTATTGGTATCTTCTTTAATTTCTGTCATGAGTGTCTTGAAGTTGTCAGACTATATGTCTATTACTTCTTTCATTTGGTTTATTCCTAGGTAATTTATTCTTTTTGATGCAATTGTGAATGGAATTGTTTTCCTGATTTATCTTTTTGCTAGTTCATCATTAGTGTATAGGAATGCAACAGAATTCTGTGCATTAATTTTGTATCATGCAACTTTGCTAAACTCAGATATTAGATCTAGTAGTTTTGGAGTAGATTCTTTAGGGTTTTTTAGATACAATGTCATGTCATCTGCAAACACAGACAGTTTGACTTCTTCCTTACCAATCTGGATGCCTTTTATCTCTTTGTGTTGTCTGAATGCCATGGCTAAGACCTCCATAACTATGTTGAATAAAAGTAGGGAGAGTGGGCATCCTTTTCTTGTTCCTGATCTTAAAGGAAAAGATTTCAGCTTCTCACTGTTATGTATGATGTTGGGTGTGGGTTTGTCACATATGGCCTTTATTATGCTGAGGTACTTGCCCTCTATAACCATTTTGTTGAGAGAGGCTTTTATCATGAATTGATGTTGAATTTTGTCAAATGCTTTTTCAGCATTTATGGACATGTTCATGAGGTTTTTGTCCTTTTTGTTGATGTGGTGAATGATGATGGATTTTCGAATGTTGTACCATTCTTGCATCCCTTGGATGCATCCCACTTGATCATGATGGCTGATCTTTTGCTGCATTTTTGAATTCAGTTTGCTAATATTTTCTTGAGTATTTTTCCATCTATGTTCATCAGAGATATTGGTCTGTAATTTTCTTTTTTTGTGGTGTCTTTGCCTGGTTTTGGTAATAGAGTGATGTTGGCCTCATAGAATGACTTTGGGAGTATTCCCTCCTCTTCTACTTTTTGGAAAACTTTAATGAAATCATCTGGTCCAGGCGTTTTATTCTTAGGTAGTTTTTTGACTACCAATTCAATTTCTTTGCTGGTAATTGGTCTATTCAGATTTTCTGTTTCTTCCTAGGTCATCCTTGGAAGGTTGTATTTTTCTAGAAAATTGTCCATTTCTTCTGGGTTATCCAGTTTGTTACCATATAATCTTTCATAGTATTCTCTCATAATTCTTTGTATTTCTATGGTGTCCATAGTGATTTTTCCTTTATCATTTTGGATTCTGTTTATGTGTATAGATTCTCTTTTTTTTCTCTATAAATCTGGCTAGGGGTTTATCTGTTTTGTTTATTTTCTTGAAGAACCAGCCCCTGCTTACATTCAATCTTTCTATTGTTGTATTCTTCTCAAATTTATTTCTGCTCTCATCTTTATTATGTCCCTCATTCTACTGACTTTGGGCCTCATTTTTCTTCCTTTTCTAGTTTAATTAATTGTGAGTTTAGACTGTTCATTTAGGATTTTTCTTCTTTCCTGAGGTAGGCCTGTATTGCAGTATATTTCCCTCTTACCACAGCAATCACTGTGTCCCACAGATTTTGTGTTGCTGAATTATTGTCATTTGTCTCCATATATTACTTGATCTCTGTTTTTATTTGGTCATTGATCCATTGATTATTTAGGAGCATGTTATTAAGCCTCCATGTGTTTGTGGGCTTTTTCATTTTCTTTGAGTAATTTATTTCTAGTTTTGTACCTTTGTGATCTGAGAAGTTGGTTGGTACAATTTCAATCTTTTTGAATTTACTCAAGTTCTTTTTGTGGCCTAGTATATGATCTGTTCTTGGAAATGTTTCATGTGCACTTGAGAAGAATGTGTATCCTGTTGCTTTTGGATGGAGTGTTCTGTAGATGTCCGTTAGATCCATCTGTTCTAATGTGTTGTTCAGTGCCTCTGTCACCTTACTTATTTTCAGTCTGGTTGACCTGTTCTTTGCAGTGAGTGGTGTGTTGAAGTCTCCTAAAATGAATGCATCACATTCTATTTCCCCCTTTAATCCTCTTAGTATTTTTTTCACATATGTAGGTCATCCTGTGTTGGTGCATAGATATTTATAATAGTTTTATCCTCTTGTTGGACTGACCGTTTTATCATTATGTAATGTCCTTCTTTGTCTCTTGTGACGTTCTTTGTTTTGAAGTCTATTTTGTCTGATACAAGTACTGCAACTCCAATTTTTTTCTCACTATTAGTTGCATGAAATATCTTTTTCCATCCCTTTACTTTCAGTCTGTGTATGTCTTTGGGTTTGAAGTGAGTCTCTTGTAGGCAGCATATTGATGGTTTTGTTTTTTTTATCCATTCAGTAACTCTATGTTTTTGATTGGTGCTTTCAGACCATTTATCTTTAGGGTGATTATCGATAGGTATGTACTTATTGCATTGCTGGCTTTAGATTCGTGGTTACCTAAGGTTCCAGGGTAATTCCCTTACTTTCTAAGAGTCTAATTTAACTCATTTCATATGCTCTTACAAACACAATGTAAAGGTTGTTTTTTTCCCCTCCTCTTTCTTCCTCCTCCATTCTTTGTATGTTATGAATCATATCCTGTCCTCTTTGTCTATCTCTTGGGTGACATCTCTTTAGCCTTAGGAATACTTCCATTTATAGGAAACCCTCTAAAATGCACTGTAGAGGTGGTTTGTGGGAGGTAAATTCTCTCAGCTTTTGCTTATCTGAAAATTAATCCTCCTTCAAATTTAAATGATAACCTTGTCAGGTAAAGTATTCTTGGTTCAAGGCCCTTCTGCTTCATTGCATTAAATATGTCATGCCACTCCCTTATGGCCTGTAAGGTTTCTGCTGAGAAGCTAGATGATAGCCTGATGGGTTTTCCTTTGTATGTGATCTTTTTTCTCTAGCTGCTTTTAATAGTCTATCTTTATCCTTAATCCTTGCCATTTTAATTATTATATGTCTTGATGTTGTCTTCCTTGTGTCCCTTGTGTTCGGAGAGCTGTGCACCTCCATGGCTTGAGAGACTATCTCCTTCCCCAGTTTGGGGAATTTTTCAGCAATTACCTCATCAAAGACACTTTCTATCCCTTTTTCTCTCTCTTCTTCTGCTGGTACCCCTACTATGCAAATATTGTTCTGCTTGGATTGGTCCCACAGTTCTCAATATTCTTTCATTCTTAGAGATCCTTTTTCCTCTCTCTGCCTCAGCTTCTTTGTATTCCTCTTGTCTAATTTCTATTCCATTTATCATCTCTTCTACTACATGTAATCTTTTAAATCCCTCCATTGTATGTTTCATTCCAGATATGGAATTTCTTAATGAGTGAATCTCTGACTTAATTTGGTTCTTGAGTTCTTAAATATTTTTCTGTACCTCCATAAGCATGTTTGTAATTTTTATTTTGAACTCTGTTTCAGGAAGATTGGTGAGATCTGATTCATTTGGCCGTTTTCTAGTGTTTGTGAGATTTTGGTCTGAACCATGCTCTTTTGACATTTCATATTTCTGTGTGGTGCCCTCTAGTGCCCAGAAGCTCTAGTCTCTGGAATTGTTCAGCCCCTGGAGTTAGGTTGGGGGTGGTAGGGGAGTGGCACTGGTGCCTGGGGATAGGAAAGAACTGTTTTCTGATTCCAGGCTGCACTGCCTGTCTCCAGTGTCAGAGCCAGTGATCCAAGCACACAGGTGTAAGCCTCTGTGCTTGGCATCTCTAGCTGTTGTCAGCAGCCTGATGCCAGTGCAATGACTGCCAGTTTGTGAACCGGTGCCGGCAGGCTAGGAGGGAGGCACATCAGGCTGCGTGTCACAGTTGGGAGTGCCTTGGATCTGAGTAGGCAGCCAGGGGGATGGAGCACGTGAAGCTCCTCAATGTTCCCAACCAGCTGGGCTGAGCATGCCCAGACAACCTTGTCCAGCTCTCCCTTCTCCCATGCAGCAAGCTCCATGGGAACTCTGCCCCTTCAGCAGCCCTCTAGCTGCTAGGAAGCCTCTCAGACCACCTGCCTTTGCTCTGACACAGAGCATCTGGGTGTGGATCCCCATCCTCCACAAATGGCCAGAATCTCAGTCTCTCAAGGACTCAGCCTGTCCCAGCTTCCCAATGTCCAGAGCACCACACAGTGTAGGTTTCTACTCCCAAAGCAGACCTCCAGGGCTGGGTGTTCAGCAGTCCTAGGCTTCCATCCCCTCCCCGCTCCGTTGCTCTTTCTCCGGCCGGTGAGGTAGGGTGGGGGAAGGGCCGGGGTCCTGCCGGATCAAGGCTTTCGTACATTACCCTGTTTTGTGAGGTCTGCTCTGTTCGAGAGGTCTGTATACAGTCTGTTGCAGCCTTCTTTCTTGTTGTTTTAGGGTTTGTTGTATTACTTAACTATATTTTCATACTACTTTGTGGTTTTGGGATGAGTTCTCCGTGTCACCTCTGATGCCGCCATCTTGAATCCATTCGAACCATTTTCAAATAATTAAATTTTAAGATGGAAACTTTCAGTTTCAGAACCACTTGGCGCAAATGTAATTTAAGTATTATTACAGTCTGCATGGTTTGCTCAGTGCCTGTATCTTAGAGTAATCATTTCTTATTTCAAAAACTTCTCAGACAGTGGGACACCAGCCATTTCTTCAAGGATGTGCTATTTAGAATTTATACATGTTATATAACTATCAATTGAAAAGAAACATGAGAAACAAAATTACTAGAGATTTATATAGACTCTTATTTTATAAAATTGTGACTCCTATACAAGTTTCCAAGAAGAAACAAATGCTGTTTATTTTACAACACATATGCAATAAAATGCCAAATATTTAAATGATGTAATACACAGAATTTAAAATACCATTTAAGGCCAACTAATTTCTAGGGCAGTTTTTTCAGACTATATTCTGTGGAACCTCAGAAGGATGGTGTGGGGAGGAGGGCACTGATGTTCCCCCAATTCATTTGGAGTTGTCCTACATGTTTTGGCTTGTATTTTGCTTTAGTTTGATGAGAAATCTCTCTGGCGTGGCAAATATTGCTGTTGCCTAACCAAGAGCCAATCCCCTGCTTCTTCATTGCTTATAAAAACTCATTTTATTTGGGGGAAAAGGAAGAATGAGGAGAAGCACACTCAGTTCCCAATGGTTAGTAATTAATAACTGGTTATTTCTACCCCACTGCCAGATAATGGTTTTCTCAGCTTGCCCTGCAGATATACTAAATTTGGCCAAGGAGACACAAGCTGATTCTTGAAGGCTTCTGGGAGATTTTTCTCCTGACAAAAGAAAGCCCTTCAAACCTACCTCACTGTAAGCCATAATCCTCTTGTTTATGATGTTTGGAGCTGTAGCAGACAGCTTGTGGCCAAGAGGCCACAAGCAAGAGTACCAAAAGTAGAATGGTAAGGGTCTGGGTCCTTGATGGAAACTTTTGAGTTAATGCACCTCCAGTCCGCTTGTTAGGCGAAATTAAACATCTCCTGCCTATGACACTGTCAGTTTAGTATTCAGCTCCTTGTAGCTTTTTAAAGCATCCTCACATATGCATATGGATAACATACTGTTTAAATCAGTGCTGTAGGTTGGAACTGATAAAACTGCATTTGCCATCTTCTGGAGTGTGCTTCACTTGCCCAGTGTGGGCTCCTGTATGTTCCAACAACAGTGTGTCACAGAGACTCTTGGTTACTATATTATGAAATACATTATACACCAACTCAGAGAGCTTTGTTCTTTGTGCTCTAAGGTCTCAAATGGATGTAATTTCTAAAATAGCTACAATTCTATAAACCACAGAGTTCGATTCTTACAGATCCTGCAAGTGATCCAGATTTCTGTCCTGGCTCTACAACTTAACTGGCTGGAAGCCAGTCCCTGAATGGCTCATTCCATAGGTAGTGTTGAACAAGCTCAATCCCACATCTACACTCTTTGATTCTATGAAGCAAATGACTCAATGATGGACAAATTTTTCACACGCTTAGTGGCCTTTGTCAGCTGATCATTAAAAAGAATTTTTGATGAGAGACCACTGTCATTTTTGGCATATTAGCTTGGACAGAATTCAAATAGTTAACTGTGGTCTAACAAAACAACTCCCATTGCCATTTACTTATTATGTGAATAAGATTTCTCAGCACTTATATCTATAAAAACTGATAATAGGAATAGAATTGATAAACTACTGTTTCATTGCACAATTAGGCATAATAATGGGCTGAAGAGAAAGCATTAAGATAAAATACATTGAGAGATGCATTTCCACTAAAATTTTATTAGGTATAATAATAATATATAAAAATTCACAATAAATTTAGGATATTCTGGTTAATAATAACCCAGGAGAAACATAACACTTAGAGGTATAGTAATACAATAAACTTTTTAAATTACTTTACATTTGTATACATATTTTCGCTGCTAAATTATATGATGGAGTAATCAACAAAATTTTTCCAAATACTATATTAAATTAGGATATAATTCTGTGTGGATATACAATGGAAACTCAGTTTCCAAGGAAAAAGGAACAATGTAAAATTTTAGACTTAGGAATTTGTTCATGGTTTTAAGTGAATAGAAGGTAGCAAATAAGTACTATTAAAAATACCACTAAAGCTTTATTTCTAATGGTTACTATTTTCAGTATGTTGGAACCAATCCTTCGGATGAATTTAACCTTATAATGAAAATTTTTAGGCATAGAATTTAGAGGATACACAGTGTTTCAAAATTCCTTTAGGAAGTATAACAAGTGAAAATGTCTGAGGACCTCTGTTCATGATGAGTTATTCAGAGAGCACAACTTTCTAATGTTTTACCATATTATTAAAACAACCAGTATATTTATTTTGAACTTGAAAGTACAATATATCTTGTTCATCAAAGAATGAAGCAATAATAAATTACATATGTTAATAAGAAAACTATATGAATAAATTAAAATGTCTACAAAAACCTATAAAGAGACCCAAGGCCAATACCAAAAAAATTAAAAAATCACAGTATTGACCTGTGTGGGTCTCAAGAGGGCCTTGAGGTTTAAAATCACAGGAAACCAGAAGTGAAAAGGGAAACCTAGTCAGCTACACTGCTCTCATTGTCTTTGAGGAGAAAATCCATTTAACATTCAAGAGAAACTAAACTCTTCATGGCACTTATTTATTTTTGGAATGGCTTCACATGAAGAACTCCTTTAGCAAGTGCTATTTAGGAAAACACTTTTGTAAGCATCTATTACATTCACATATTACTGCAGAAGGAAAGAAGTTACTTATCTTGAGGTTATAGTATTTCTTCCCTTAAAAGACAATAAAGAAAAGATCAATAAGAACTTTAATTATAAAATAGCATACTTACTTTGCTTTCATTTTCAGCACTTCTTCAACTAATTTCTTCTATAAGATAAAAGAAAGAAAGAAAAAGATGGCTTAAGTTCTTAACATTACTTAAAAAAGGAAGTAACCAGCCCTTTCTCCCTCATGGTAATAAAATCAATTAAAACAAAAGCTTTTCCACAATCCCAGCAACCACACATAAAGGGGTACCTATTTACAAGACTTCATGTACTTTGCCTTATAAGGCCTCAAATAGGCACGCAGTACTTGCTTCTAAATGGAGAAATCTGTGTGGGTTTAAAAACAAATTCAGTCTCAATTCTAGGCTATGCCTAAATAGTGACAATAAATATCAAATTTAGCAGTGGTAATACAGAAAAGACAAACTTCAATAGTAGAACAGTTTCTAAAATATAGTCATAAATGCTAGTAACTATAAAATCATTTTTCAGAAAGAAAAAAACTATTATGTAAAAAAATCATACTTTAGCAAGCCTTTCTTTGATAATTGCTTCCTGTTCATTCTTCAGTTGTTGACTGTCTAGATGACTGTTGGCTGCATAAATTAAGATGTGGAAGCACTGTCAAATATATTCAAGTACCAATTTCACATATATTATACACAGCAATGCCAAGTTGTGCAAAGAAAAGTTAATTATATGTGAAGAGGTCAAGTTAGCATAGTTGCGGAATGTGATCAACACATGAGGATAAAATAAGGCACTCCCCCAGGATTCATGATTCTTCCCACGCAAAAGTGAGATGAGCAAAGCCAGGAAATTGAATCACAGATTGATTTAAAGTAAAACAAAAGAGAAATGTAGTCAAGAGTGGTATCATCAGCGGATTAAGTGTGAGCAAAAGGGGGCTAAGAGAAAGGACAGTCCAGGAGCCTGGCAGGACTGTGGTCAGTTGGGAGGGGACAACTGCTGGGGTGGGGGAGGGTTCCTCAGGCTGGCCTAGCCCACGGAGCTCCTAATGCCCCCTCTGCTTGGATTTCTTAGTCAGCTGGCAATTTTCTGATGAAACTCTGGCTTCCCATGTATCCTGACGCTAGGAAAGGGGATTCCCCAAGCACCAGACATAAATCTCATTATGGAAAAGGAACGCTCCTCTATAGAAAGAAAACTACATTCTGGATGATATATCGGTATCAAGTGAATTTGATTAATGTCAGTCTACTTCCATGAGCCTGACCAGGTCAGGATAATAAACCAAGTTTTCACCGGCAGCCCCGGGGCCCGGGAGACAACTCCCGGGAGAACCTGCCTGGGCGCCACAGGCTCCTCTAGGAATACCTCTCTCACTGGTGAGTAAAAGATCGTTTCTTAAGGAAAACAGAAGCTACAGTAGCTTCTTTTAATCATTATCAAAAATGATAATGAGACCACAAGGAGGAAAACACAAAATCATTAGGGAAGACGTGTTTTCTATGCTCTAAGCACAGGTAAGCTTTTCTGTCAAGAACCAGGTAAGAAAATATTCTAGGCTTTGAAAGGAGCCTTATGGTTTCTACACAGCCACTCAGCCTGGCTGTTGAAATGCAAAAGCTGACATGGCAATATTTAAATGTAAGGATGTGACGTGTTCCAGTAAAACATAGATACCAAGCAGGCTGTGGGCTGGAGTTCTCCCCTGGGCTACAGTTTTTACCAACTCTAAACTTTCAATGAAGAAGGTTCTGTATGGCTCCTCAAATAAGGTCATGAGGCTAAGGAAGTATTTTTAATTGTGGTTTTATAAATGACCTGGAAACATTCTGTGTTCCATCATCAAACTAACCCTTGATAAAAGATAGTATACCGAGTACAGTGCTTTTCTTTAATGTGATTGGATGTGGGGGTGGAGCCTATGGAAATCAGGTGAGCAGAGTGTGGGTGACTCCCTGCATGAGAGTCACCCAGAGGGGAAGTGAAGCCCTAGAAGGAGATGCTTCTAAAATGAGCATGTCCACCACTCACTAAAACTTGAAGAGAATCTTTTAGGAACAGATTGATAGCACAGTCACCATTACCATCCTCAAATATCTGTTGTCTCATTTAGGTGCATTTCCGGGCTGCTTCTAGGCAGGGAAGGGAGCTGCAGGAGCAGGAAGGCATCTGTCAAAGACCTGACAACAGTAGAAACAGCAGACACCCCTAATCTGGAAAGCTGAATTCTGTAGGGTCACCATCTGAAACAGACTCTCTTTGAATGAACTGCAAAAGTTTACAGGCCACCCTCATTTCCAATCCCTCACTCAGGAAGGTAACAGTAGGCAGGATGATAATACTACTTTGTAACTTAATAATTACTATTTCTTGAGTGACTCCCTTCTGCCAAGCACTGTAATCAGCCCTTTACACGTTCTTTTTGATTTTTAAAACACCTGGTGAGAGAGTTATCATTTTCTTTATTTTATTTTAATGCTAAGGAAACTGTGGCAGTTAAGAGGTTAAAAAAATGTGTCCAAAAGCCCACAACTTTGAAGTGTCAGGACATAGCTTGGATGTGGGTGCCCCTGACACTATGCTGTGACATTAGCAAGTACAACTAGAAAACTGCCTTAGCTGAGGCCAAACCATGCACACACAAGCACAGAGATACTCAAGCCCAAGGAAAGGTGCCTCTGTAAAGCTCCTGCCCAGCAGCTTTCCCTGGACCATGAGTCATAAAGCAAATCCAACTGGTAGGAAAGTTTCCCTTTTGTTGCAGGACCTCTTGAACCTTGTCTTGTTGACATATTTACTCTTTTTGTTTCTTAAATTGAAACAGACAGCTTGGTTCAAGTATTTCATATGTTGGAACTCCATCCCAATAGCTCTACAACAACACGAAGGTTAACAGAGTAGACAAGATCATGAATGTCTTATTCTCCCACTCTGGAAAAAGCAATGCCCTCATCAGACCTGATTCAAAACAACCAATGCAGCACCTCTTGGATTAGTGGAAAACAAAATATACCATGTGAAACCAATTCCAAGCTCACTCATCTAACTAGACCCAGGCAGGCCAATATACAGCCAACAGAATTCTGGTGATTCTTGCTCACCGACTGTCCCTT